TAACATAAAGCCAAACATATGGTAGCTCTCCAGAAATAGCAGCTATTTTTTATTACATTATTATGCTATTATTGCTATTATTATACTGTGGTATTATTTACACAAAATTTGTATTAAAAATGAATGCAAAGTGTGCCAACGATGCTTCTGATACTTCTTTTTTTTTAAGATTTTATTTCTTTATTTGAGAGAGAGAGACAGCCCGCTTGTGCAAGGGCAGAGGGAAGGGCAGAGGGAGGGGGAGAGAGAGAATCTCAAGCAGACTCCCCACTGAGCACAGAGCCAGGCATGGGGCTCAATCTCACAACCCTGAGATCATGACTTGAGCTGAAGTCAAGAGTCAGGCACTCAACCAACTGCACCACCCTGGTGCCCCGCTTCTGATATTTCTCCTATACATAATCTTAGTGAAAACTGACTGGTTGTGTATGGTAACAAAAAGGGGGTCCTTGAAAATAATACAGCTATCCTTGATGTAGTTGCATAAATTAATTTAAAAAAATTATTTGTGATTGCAATAGCTCCATCTGGAAGCATTTGTCAGTTCATGACCATTAGAAATAAGAAGAAACCAGCTCAAAAAAATAGAGCTGGAATCAGACAGTGCAAATTCCAGCTCTGCTTTTCACTAGCTGCGTAGTCCTGAGGAACTCAGCCGCCCCCCGGGGTTCTGTCTCCTCATTTATAAAATGGAAAACTTAGGATTAACTTTCTTGGGTTACTGAGGAATTATGAAACAATATGTGGCACTTTACAAATGTTACTAAAATACTAATAAAATACTAGTATTTTACTGTTCTTAGAATAGTGTTAGCTTTCATTAATCAGAAACTGGACAGCATACTAATAACTATTTTATAAATATAGTTATTTGGTACATAAACTCTTTAAAATAGGTAGTTCAAGGAAGGAAGGAAGGAAAAAAGAAAGGAAGGGAGGGAGGCAGGGAGGAAGAAGGAAGGGGAAGGGAAGGTGGAAAGGAAAGGAAAGGAAAGGAAAGGAAAGGAAAGGAAAGGAAAGGAAAGGAAAGGAAAGGAAAGGAAAGGAAAGGAAAAGAAAAGAAAAAAGGAAGGAAGGGAGAAAGAAAAAAAGAAAAGAAAGGAAAAGAAGGAAGGAGGAAAGAAGGAAGGAAGGGAGGAAGGGTAGGGAAAGAGGGGATAGATGATATCTATATAGGTAAGATAGATAGATGATAGATAGATAGATAGATAGATAGATAGATAGATAGATAGATAGATAGATAGATAAATTATTGAAAGTTACCAGAGGGAAGAGGATGCTTGAACTTGAGAAAGAGACTATAGGGACTACCCCACTCTGGTGGGCTCTAAAGGAAAGAGAAATCCTCTAGGGAGTGGAGGTTGTGCCCGTGACCTCTGACTTCCCTTCCAGCTCTCAGATTCTGTGACTGTCTCCAAGGAATGGACACAGTGATGATTAACATTCCCTTTTCCCCGAGACGGGTGGTGCACGCTTTCATCTTTCAATGTTTATAAATGCCTTTGAAAATGGAATGTGCCACATACATACTATGAGCTATTATTAATATGGTGTCCAAACACCTCTCTCCACATGATAGTTAAGGAACAAAGCAACTGGGGTGTGAGTGTTAGGGAACTTTCAGAGTAAGCGTGTGTATGTGCACACACCCCGGTCAAGGAATGTTCTTTAGTCTCACCCTGGCCTTGGGAGAGGCAGACTATTTCACAGGGGCCAGAAATGGAGCAGAATCGGAGACGTACAAGGGCCTGAACAAGAAGTCGGTGGCAAGATCGGAGCATAATTGATCAAAGCCGTTTTTCTGGACCCCCTATAGGCTGCAAGACATGCTAAGCGCTGTGCAGAATATAAAAACTTGATGGACACAAGCCCTGATTGGAGCGCATATATGACAAAGACAGTAACCAGTTTTGAAGAAGTCTGCTCTGAGAAAGTGGACTTACAGGCTGGTTGACCGGGCCCCAAATACAAAGGACCCCTGAGCAAGGAGCAAGATCCTACTTGTAGATAACCAGGGGTAAGTCATCAGAAAGTTCTGCTGTCATTGCAGAGGCTGTGGTTCTAAAACATTTTGTTCATGAATGCTTTAAGAAATCCAGTGGAAGTTACGAACCGCTTCCCAGAAAAAATTTGCATGCCGATAAAATCTCGCACTGCATGTCTCACATAGCTCACACATTTCCTAAAGCTCTGTCCTCCCTGGGCCCTTTTCTGCAGCTCTTGTGTAGCTAAAACCTCTAAGATGTGAAGTCAGCGAACTGAACAGATTCACTAGCAGACTGATTCAAAGCAGAGACCAGATTTTCTCTAACTCTGGATCCGGGGCATCTAGCGCAGATTCCGGGGCATCGTGCACCTAAAATAAATGCTTATTTAATAAACCAGCACAGAATTAAAGCATTTTAATGAGCAATGACTCCTCCTTTAGCTATACTTCATACAGTCTTCTTTATTTGTTTGTTTTCTTGCTTGTTCTTTAACACTTCTCAGGAAATTGACCCCCATAGTCTAGAGAGCAAAGAACACATGAATGGATACCTGAATCGCCCAGAATCATTTCAAGAACAAGGAAAGGTTGAAACATTTACTCTCTAACCCCCAACACAGGATGCAAACTCTGGGTTGAAGAGCATTAAGGGACCATGTGTAAATTGCAAAATCCACACCTAAAATGGCCACATTGAGGAGGTGTCTCTTTAGAAATCCCAAAGAAGAGCAAAGCTGTGTGCCATCCCAGCCTTTGATCTGTCTGAGCAGAATGAGCGTGGCACACTTCTTAAACCTCCGAGCGTCCCTCCAGCATGAAAGACAGGAATAGGTCACACTGAAACTCTCCCTGGCTGCAAGCACCTCTGGGATAAGCCCCTCAACAAGACAAATAGCCTCTGGCAACAGTGCCCTGGGAGAAATGGGTCCTATCACTCAAGCAAGGTCCTCATTCAGAAAAGTCAAGATGGCAGGGGAGAGGCAAAGTCCGGAGAGAGTGAAAGAGAGAGGGTGGGCGGGCCAGAGGGCCAGAGGAGGGCTTCCGAAAGTCCCAGCTTCTGGTTTCGTCTCTTTCTAAAGTAGCCATTCCCCCTTGAAGAGGTAAATAAAACAACACCATATGGGTATGGCATTATGCAGATGAGGAGGCAGAGGCAAGAGACCTTCAAAGCTGCTAAAAGCCAGACCAAAAGCCATGTGTGCATGATGTCCCAGCACTCCCCACCCCCACCCCTGCCCCTGCAGCACCTTTGCATGCTGCTCCCGGACTCAGCCCTGGAGGGCTTCCAACTTCCGGCCACCTTGAGGGGCTTTTTGGTGAAGTGCCACAGAAGATAAAATTAGAAACCAGGCTTCCTTTTTTCCCCCCTCACTCTGTTAGTCACACACACATCAGCTCTGACTGAGAAGCAACCTCATACCAGCTTTCAGTGACAGACGCTCAAGTGAGCTGCACTTTAGCAGCTACCTGCGCCTGGCCCCTCAGACCTCTGCTTCTCCACCTGCCCCCCGAGCCAGAAGGGAGCCGTGCCCCTGGTCCCACGTTCTCACCATGTCCTCTGTTCCCTCTTCTTTCTGAATGTGTGACCCCAGCAAATGGCTTAACTTCTTCGACCTCATCTATAACATGGAGATTAAAAAAAAAAAAAAAGTCTCTCCACCTGCAGAGTTGTTTGAAGGCCCAAATGCAGCAATGTGGGTGGCGTTCGCCAGCCAGCTGGGCACCAACTTCACAGCAAAGATTGTTGTAGGAAAACCACTGTGAGCTCAGTTCTTCAGGCTGATAACTTCCAATTCAGCCTCAAATATGCTCCCAGAGGGAAAGGACCTGCTGCTTCGGTCACTCACCGTGGGGTCTGCACCCCTCATAGGTGGTCCAAAAATGCTGCAAGCCCCAGGGGTTAGGGATAAAAGATTCATTGATCCTTCTCTTTTCCCCGAGGCCTCTTACGCCATTTATGTTTATCAAAAGGTGAAGAGACGGTCAGGAGTTTCTTGTTGTCTTTCCATGAGGGTCATGGCTTGATTTGTTTGTACGTAGCTGTCACTGGCTTTGTGGGGGCTCTATCTTTGGAAGTTATCCAGAGTTGGAGCATGGTGGTGTGCCTACTGAAAGCCTGCAGGTGAGTCTGCAGGTGAATCTGACAGGTGAGTCTGCAGGAAATCCTGGCAGCTCCCTCAAGTGTGGCCCCACACGGGAGATGCTTCTGGGGGGCACATGGATAAACGTTATCTTTCTGTTGTCACATTTAGAAGTGTCATTACAACAATGACAACTATTTTCCAGTTAAAGTAGTAAGATCAATTTTTCTTTTGTATTATTTCTATTCAGATTTTTTTAAAAAGTTACTCTACAGAAAATATGAAAAGGAACAGTAATACAGATGGTTTCTAAGTGAGTCTAAAATCTTGAGTTGGTCTTCAAATTATTTATTTTTGAGAAACTATGGAAAGATAGGGAGAGCTTTGGAGAAAAGTTAAGGTACCTGGGCCCAGTTCTAGCTTGTTACTTTTCTGTGAACATGGAGGCATACCATATGACGTCTCTGTGCCCAGATTTCCCAGTCAGTGACAGTGGGGAGGATGCTCCAGGTGGGAGAAATATTCTCTCTCCACCCCCTCTCCCCACCCCCACTTGTGGAAAACATCCTCAGTCTTTCAGGTTTACTCTACCTTATGGCCGTCTCTGTTGGATGTACCTCTCCTTCCGCCCAACTCCCATATCATGGCGCATGGACTTCTTGGTGACCAGCACAGCTGAGTGATTATGAGCCTGCTGTGGGCTCCACATTCCAGCTCTTCCACTCCCCAGCTGTGACTCCATTTCTTCCTCTGAAAATGAACTATCTCCCTCATAGAGTCATTGTTAGAACCAAAAGAGAGTACACAGAGTGTGTACAGTGATTCTCATCTCTTATTTTGCAGAGCGCGGGATTGAAGCCCTGAGGTAAAAAACAGGTGCCCCCAAGATTACAAAGTGCATTAGTACCAGAGCCAGAACTTGAACATTTCTCTATATGCCTGGAAACATCACTACGATTGAAGTCTGTTCAGCCACTATACCATGCTCTGTTCAAAAAACATTAACAAACTTTATTGCCAGTAATCATTTTGAATATATACATATATCAAATCATTACACCCTAAATTGTACACCTTAAAATTATACAATGTTATCTGTCTTTTATATCTCAATAAAACTATAAAAGATTTTTAGTTGAGAGAAATTTTTAAAATATATACAGGAAGGGTTTGAATGACTACATGAAAGACTTGCTTCTCCAGGAAAAACACACCATCAAGTTTCCAGAAGAGAAGGATTTGATGGAAACCCACCACCCTCTGTGGTATGCATCAGTGTCAGTCAAAAGGATGCCAATTATTACGAAGGAGCCACTTAGAGCAGGGGTCTGTAAACTACACCCAATGGGCCACGTGGCCAACCACATATTTTTATACATAAAGTTTTATTGGATCACAGCCACACTTGTTCAGTTACATAGTGTCTGCAGATGCCTTCATTCTATAATGGCAGAAGACTGACTCAACTAATAAAACAGACAATATGACTGGCTTGCCTGAGGCAGGGTTCAATCATCTCCAGCCTATGGACTCCTCCTACATAAAAGAAAGAAGGTTCAGGAAGGAGGGGTAGTTCATTCAGTGCGCACCTCTTCATTTTGCCTATTTGACATTCATGCATCAACGTGGTCAGAGAGAATTTTATGACATGTATGGAAGCAAGACGTATCATAGAATATACTCATCTGAGAATAAATCCCCACTTGAAAATGTTTTTCTGGTTCTATCAAGATCACAAAAGGTTACTAATACTATAGGTCCAAGTTATTCAGAATTATATTTATATCCTCAAGATCAGAAATGCTGAAAGCCAACATCTTAAGCTTTCAAAGGACCTGCAGTTTAACCTCCAGGTCTAATAGAGGTTTTCCCTTAAGAACCAGCAAACCCAGAGAGGGACCAGAAGGGTAGGAAGACTGTAGATTGTTGAATCAGCATCTGAGTAATGAGCAATAAGACTCTTTAATTCCTAGATCTAGCTGCTTCGAATTTTCTTAAAGCCTTTGAGGTTGTGCTTATTGGGAGATTGCATTATTAGTCAGGAAATACTCACTCTCCTTTCCCCAGCACTACGGACAGGGCATACCACCCTCTTCAATGACTTTGGGCCTGGCCAAGTGACTTGCTTTGGGTGGAAGTGACAGGAGGTCGGTTTTGAGCGCTGTGTATTTCCAACCTCTCTCTGCCCTTCCTACATCCATATGAGAAGTAGATGTCCCGGGGCCGCTGCTTATTCAGCCTGCGTTCAGGAATGAGGGACATGAGGGAATACTCCTAAACCGGACATGCAGACAAAACCTGATCCACAGACCAAACCTGACCAGCAGACCCATGAGCAAGAGATAAAACTTGTAGTTAGAGGCCACTGATATTGGGGTTATTTGGTGTGACAGTTAATCTGACTCATACAGTTCATTTCTTTGTTTGCCCGTGAGGCTGTGGAAATGGTTGGTTTGCTGTCAGGTGTGTAAATTAAAACTCTTAATTAATGCTTAAACAGTAATTAAATGCCCTTTATTTCATCTTCACATAAGGAAACTGAGATCCAGAGAAGGAGTTCCCCAAAGGCCCTAACAAGTTAGTGGCAGAGAAAAGAGGATTCCTGCCTTGTGATCCACCGTCCTTACGCTGATTGGCTCATTCATCCACCAGTCACTCTTCTTAATCACTTGTAAACTTAACATTCTAACCTAATAAACACCTCACTCCATGAAAAAGTCCAGAAATTATTATCAGGAAAAAACCCAGCTGAATTAATTGGGGATGAAATAGATAACAATATATGAACTTTGCACCAGATCTCCTCAGAAATGCTCTGTGAGGTCACAGCAAGATGAGTCTTTTTTTTTTTTTAAGATTTTATTTATTTATTTGAGAGAGAGAGAATGAGAGAGAGCACATGAGAAGGGGGAGGGTCAGAGGGAGAAGCAGACTCCCTGCCGAGCAGGGAGCCTGATGCGGGACTCGAACCAGGGAGTCCAGGATCATGACCTGAGCCGAAGGCAGTCGCTTAACCAACTGAGCCACCCAGGCGCCCCGAGATGAGTCTTAATGGTAAATACAACCACATCTTATTTTTCAGCTTGAGACTTGACATTCACATGCTACAGATGCTGTTTTAGATTATCTTTCTAAGAAATCTAAATGGTCATCTTGACTAGCCGGCTACCCCCAGATGACTCAGAAATATGTTCAAATTAGGCAGTTAGACTACACGCTTCTCATCCACTAGCCCAACATTAGACAGCTAATTTTTCAAATATTCCTAGAACCACAAATTTTTCAGGTTATATGCTTCAAGCTTCTAATTAATAAAGCTGGAGTTTGAGGATCTGAAAGATCCTGTCTGAAACCTCACCTCTTGAAACAATTAGTGTGTGGCCTTGGGAAAATTATTCAATCTCTCTAGGGCTTGTGTTTTCTATAATATGAAGATAACACTACTACTACTTCGAAAGATAAAGGTAGAATTGAATGAACACAGGCACTCAAGGAGAGGTGGATGGAGTAAGTAGCCCCAGAACTGTTAACTTAGAAAAAGCACTTGGGTTGCTAAAAAGCATGTGAGTCTTGAGATGAATCTCCCGGCCCCAGTGATATCACTATATAACCTGGGTAAATCATAGAACTTCTTGTTTCCTCATTTGCCAAGTCGAGGGAAGCCAATGGGAAATGCTCACCAATGTTCCAAGTGACTGTCACTGAATCCGGACAGCAGAAATGCTCCAGGCTTCATTTCTGCCCTCCAGCCTCCAACGAGGAAAAAGAAGGAGCAGGATAGAGCAAAATATAGGACTTAGAACCAGCAATTCTGATTCCAAGTAGCTTCTCATAACCGGCTCTGAGCCTCTATTTTCTCATCTGCAAACTTCACATGGCCACTCTTGTACTGCCCATATCCCCTGCCTGTCGGGCTAATCAAATGACGTAATGCATACAGAAGAGCCCCAGAGCCCACAGTAGCCTCTGCATTTGTCAGTGGCTGTAGGAAAAAAACAACAATGGGAATTGATTGGGTCCTAAGGGCTAGTATTGAGAAAATGGGAAGAGAGGGCAGGAGTTTGAACTCAGCTAAGCTCTCCCCTTTTGGTCTGAACCTACAAACCATCAAATATTCAACCACAATAACTGGATCATGTAACAATGTGATTACTATACATATATTCCCAGAGACAGCAAAGAGAGGACAGGAGGAAGGGAAGAAATAACCAGCTTTGCTAGAAAGGAAGGAGGGGGCAGAGCTTTAGAATATGGATCCCATTGCCAGATTCTGTTCCTGAATATAACAATTCTTTTTTTTTTTTTAAAGATTGATTTATTTATTTGAGAGAGCGAGAAAGTACATGAGAGGGGGGAGGGTCAGAGGGAGAAGCAGACTCCCTGCCGAGCAGGGAGCCCGATGCGGGACTCGATCCTGGAACTCCAGGATCATGACCTGAGCCAAAGGCAGTCGCTCAACCAACTGAGCCACCCAGGTGCCCCGAATATAACACTTCTAAGCTCCATGACCTGGCAAGATAATTAAACATTCTCTGCCTCAGTTTCTTCATCTCTAAAATGGGGATAATAATAGGGCCTCCCCTAGAGAGTTGTTGTAAAGATTATATTAGTTACTGCAAGTGCTTAGAACTAGAGTGCTTCCCATATAGTCAACACTGAGCATGTGTCATATTTATTCATTCATTTATTCCACTCCACAAATATTTATTGAGAGTTCACTCTGTGCCAAACCCTGTTGGGACTGGGCATATAGTCATGAGCAAAACAAAGTCCTTGCCCTCCAGTAGCTTGGAGTTCATTCCAGAGCAGTTCCAGAAAGACAATAGAAAAATTAATATAAACTATATGTCAGTTCATGATAAATACTATAGATATAAGTAAGATGGGGCAGAGGGGATATGAGATTAAGGGGTTGCAATTTTAGGTCAAGAGGCCAAGTAGACTTCCTTGATCCTGTGCTATACTGAGCATGTAGGTGAAAGTATGGGGGGCTGCCCAGGTACCCCCTCAGGATGGAGGCACTCATTCCACTGCTCTCAGGAGCTCTGCCTGCTACCCCCAGATTCAGCCAAATAGAGCTTTCATCTCATACCCTTTCTCTAAAGGCAGTCTGCATCTCTGACTGGTCAACACAGATGCACAAAAGCCCCATTACTTGTCCTCTCCTGGGAAAACTCTGAAGAGACATCCCAGCTCCAGGGTTCCCTGTGGGATTGCCAGAGGTCTCCATTGAAACTTTATCATGGTCCAGCTCCTCCTTCTGCCCATCACAGATGTTGTTCCTGAACCTGTTTTCCAGTTAGCTTCCTCACATAAATCTCAAGAGTCTCAGACTCTCTTTCCAAGAAAATCTGACCTATGACCAAGGCTAAGTAACTTGTACAATATCTCTTTGAACAGAAAGTAGTAGATCAAGGGTTTTCTCCCGGGGCTGCCTGCCTCTGTGGCTTTGAGATTCTTCTGTTGTTATCAGTGGTATTGCCTTCTAGTCTGTTCCAGTCAGTGCAGTAGCAGGAAAACTTCTTGGAATTTCTGAGCCATCCAGAGCATGAGGGTGTGGCTGTGGATGAGAAAAGGAGAGGTGGTGTTAATGTTAAGAGCAGAAGATATTGTCCCCATTGAAACCCAGTGATGTTGAAAGTACATCAACACATTTGGAAAAGAAACATAATAATTTTAGAATTTGACTTTTTTTTGCTACAAATTCTTAGTGCTTTTGCCATAAACATACAATTGTTTGTTTTATATGAATTAAAACATATGAAAAAAAAACTCTTTTTAAGTAAGTTCCATCTTTAGTCCAGTTTTCCATCAAGTGTGTTTTTAGGTATTTTAGGATGGCATTTATATCTTGGGATAAAGTGACTTTTGGGGAGTCCTAAAATGTGATCTTCCTCCTGGTCTCAATGATGCATTTATTTTTATATTAGGATGCCTTGAAGGATACTTGCCTTTGGCTTCAACCTGGATCCCAGACACAGTAGATCCAGAAGCTGGTGATATGGTAAGTAGGTATCTCAGACAGGGAGGGGGGAACACAGAAATTCTTCAGGTGTTGGGAAAGTTTTCCTGAAACAGTGTAACAAGCTTCTGGATGGGAATCTAGGACATAAGAGAAGGTTAGAGTCACTATAGTAGAATCTTACAAAGAAAAAACAAACAAAACATCCAAGACTTGAGGAGAACCAATTCCAGATTCACGTAATTAAAAAAAAAAATTAAAAAGAATTCTTATCATCAGGATCCACTCTAGATGTATGTGTGCAAAATACATTCACATGACATGGAAGAGGGTATTAAATTCACCTTACAAGGAAGAGGGTATTAAATTCACCTTAAAGGTATGAAAACTGAGATTCAGGACGGGTTAAGTGACTTCCCAAAGTTTACACTCATGAGTTGCAGAGTGAGTACTTCAACTCTGATGGACTTACTCCCAGTTATGCCCAAAAGCAAGATTGCATTTCTATAATGATTGGAAATACAACTCAGGAGATAAGTATCCAATTCTTTCATAGTCCTACCCTTTGCTGGCCTGAGATGCAACATTGAAACCCTTGTTAAACTGGAATTCTCTGGGTTTATCATCAAGTCTGTGTAAAAGTATCATCCACTCTGAAGGTATTTGTAAATGTCTAAAATTTCTTCTGCTATCCCAGAATCATTGAGGTCTCCACCATGGCATTAACATCAGTGGCTAAACTCTATATTATCAAAGTTGACATAGGAATTGGTACAAAATTTCTAGTTGCGCAGCATTCTTTAGACAAGTTCCAGTCTGGCTGAGAGCCAGTGATAATAATGATACGTTGGTTCTGATTAAGAAATTACTAAAAGGACAAATAGTATCTCTACTAAGTATTAATGACTCTGAATTGTACTGATGTAGTGTTGGTCTCTTTCCATTTCAGAATCTTGGATGAGCATCTAAACCCTTATAATGCATCAGAGCAAATGTTACTTAACCTTTAATTGAAGTCTGTAAGAATTCAAAAGGTTCTTTCAAGCAGAAATATGAGGCATGATATTGAAATATTATTTTTAACTTCTATACTCTTTGAGTAGTGTATTTTTGAGCACTTAATCTCACCAAGACTCAGCCTTTCCATCTGCTAAATGGAGATATCTAGGGTGGTTCACTTATCACACAGGGCTAATGCGAGCAAAAAATCATCCCTTTGGCTTGCTGATAAGGTATTTGCTGAGTTACCTTGAAAACCTTATATTGGAAATTTACTGCTTAATGAGAAAAATTTGAATCATGTTCCCCCTCCACTTGTCCATGCTCAGCAGTTTTTGAGAACTGCCCATTGCCCAGTGCAACCACTAAGCTTGGTCCTTGAGGCCTTTTATGACCTGGCCTTAACCTCTTACCTCTCTAGCTGTGCTTAGACCATAGTCTAAGATACACCTAAAACATGGGGCACCTGGGTGCCTCAGTTGGTTGAACGTCTGACTCATGGTTTCAGCTCAGGTCGTGCCTGATCTCAATCAAGTTGGTGAGATCAAGCCCCATGTCAGGTTCCACGCTCAGCAGGGAGTCTGCTTGAGATTCTCTCTCTCCCTCTCCCCCTGCCCTTTTCCCCACTCAACGTGCTCTCATACTCTCTCTCTTTCTAAAATAAATAAATACAATCTTAAATATATATACACACCTGAAACATTATCAACTTTCACTTTGCGTTGCTCTGTTCAGTCAGCTTCCCCTGTGAAGAATGTCCCTTGCCCTTGCTTCTATCTGCCTGGTGAAATCAAGTTCATAATTTAAAGCCCAACTCTCAAATATCCCCCTAGAGAAACTTTCCCTACCACCCCCTAACTTCCATGATACTTTATCCATACCACCAACCAAGACCAAAGGGTTTTTGGCCATACTCAAGGTTACCCCTGAGACTGGCAGAATCATGACCCAGCCAGTCAGGTCACCTGCTCTCTTTTCACAGATGCTTCTGTGAAAATTACAAAATCATTCTAGGAAATGTGGGAGACTCTGATGAGCACTCAAAACAGTTATTCCATGTTTAACAAAGCTAATCTACCCAGCCATCCTAATAAAATTGTGGAAATGCAATTGAGTGGACCCTATGACTCATTCATGGCTGGCTCTGTCTCCTCAGATAAGGCATGGAGAGCTAGGTATAGAGCTTATTCAAACAATAAATAAGAGCAAAAATGAACTAAGGGGTTGTAATCCCATCAAGAGTCTCTGACAGTGACAGAAACCCCCAGAGGAGGCTTCTCTGGTCACGGAAATGACTGCCTCAGTGAAACCATTAGTCCCTGCAATGTTTGGCTTTGATTCTGACAGTGAAAAGACTCGCCAGATAAAGCCATGGGCTGCAGTAACAGATGGGGTTTGAGCAGTAAGGCCATCCACAAATGAAAGATTCACTTTATGTCAATGAAAGCAGATGAATCTGTTTAGTGGCGCCTTGAGTCTACAACCTCAAAATAGAATTGCGTCTCCTCCAGTTGGAACGCATTCCTCTATGCAAAAAGTGAAACACTTCAGGATGCATGTAAGTCATAGCAAGAGAGATTTTGCTATTACATCCACTCTCCATAAATTCACATCAGGTAAAGAATGCCAAGAGGGCCTATAGGCATTTAGAAAGTGGGAGCAAAGGGGTGACTCTGTCTTAGAATAAAAAAAGTAGTCTTTTGCACAACATTACACAACAATTACCTCAATAGATCCTTGCGAAATCCATAAATGTAGGCAAGCACCCCAGCAGCATCATTGCCCTCATTTCACACATAAGAAAAATGAGGCTCAGAGATGTTGAATGAACTCCCCAAAGTCATGCAAAGGAGACACTCGGGGCTAGAAACCGTCCCTAGTCCAGTGCTTTCCCCACTCTCCCAAACAGCCTCTCTGACCAGGGGGTTTCATGCACCATCAAACAGAGAAAGAGAAAATCGGAAACAGTGGGCTTCTATAAAAAGAAATGAAAAGTTCTACATTCCAAAGGAAATTGGTGATTTCTAAAGCTATCAGGCAATAATAATAAATATTCATAGTTACCACTGGACTAAGTTTTCTGATCTTTACTCTTGGTCTTTACTCCCATGGAATGTGCTTCCCCAGGGGGAGAATATAATATGTTTGGAGGTGCATGGGGATTTGGCTTCAGACACACTTGGGTTGGAATACCAGCTCTCTAGTTACCAGCTTATGCGACCTTGAATCTGAATTTTCTTATCATGAAAATAGGGGCAATAATTCATCACAGAAATAAGATGAGTAAACAAAATAGCATGCGAAAAGTGTTTTAACAGCATACCTGGCATAGAAGTTGCTCAAAAAACGTCAGATCCTGGGGCGCCTAGCTGGCTCAGTTGGTGGAACGTATGACTCTTGATCTCCAAATTGTGAGTTTGAGCCCCACATTGGGTGTACTTAAAAATAAAATCTTAAAAAAAAAGTCTTTTCTACAGAAACAAATATGACTCTTGATCTCCAAATTGTGAGTTTGAGCCCCACATTGGGTGTACTTAAAAATAAAATCTTAAAAAAAAAAGTCTTTTCTACAGAAACAAACTTTAACCATGTCTCATCTGCTAAGGATGAACAAGCCACCCACAGGGTCTTTGAAAGAGTGGCTTCATTCAATGTGGCACTGATCTTTGTTCAGCCTCTCACACTGGGAAGAAAGTACATGTTCATAATTTGGGAATCAAATCATTGTCTTCAGGTTTCTGCCACTGGGCCAGGAACTAAATAAGCCTTTTTATCCACCAGCAAAAGATGAGGTACTCTTTTTCTTTATTAATGGAGTTGCTGACTCATTAGTTCAAATGAAACATGCTCCCAGCATTTGAAATAAACCCTCATCCTGGAAAAGCACTAGATGCCAGTTAAAATTTCTTGAGCACCTGCTTAGTGCCAGTCTCTCGGGAAAGCACTTCTACCCACATTAGCACATTTGAATCTTGCAAACAACTCTACAAATAGGTTCTAGAAAGATAATATTCTCTCCATTTCACAAGTTAGGAAACTGAAGCTCAGAGCTGCCCAAGGTTGTTGCATAGCTCCTACAGCAGCTGAGACGGGGTTCTGAGTCTAATGTTGTTCCCTTTTCCTTCAGGACAAGGGCTCACAGCCATATGGCTGCCAAGTCACCGCCATGTCAACATCCCACAAAAAATACCCGAGAGCAAGCAGGGACGGATGAGAGGTTGCGCCCACCGTTGACTCACGACCAGGGCGATCTGCAGGAGCCCTTTGCCTGCTCTGACTCTTCACTTGTGAAATGGGACAGCACCGTGCTTGGTTTAGATTTAAGTCAGTATCAAGTTACCAAGTGGCCTGATTCATTTCAGAATTTTATGTAGTATGTTTCCCAGAAAGCCATTTGGAAAAGCAGTCTCTAATTTTGTTTTTTATTATTTCACTAAGAGAAATATCTTTTTTTTTATCCTCACCCACTGTTTATGGAGTGAATGCTACGGCCAGGCACTCTGCTAGGTTCTGGGGATAGAGCAACGACCTGGACAGACTCCATCCCTGCCCTCCTGGAGCTGATCGTCACTGGGAAATAATGGACAAACACTAATCTGTAAGAGTGGTTATATAATCAAAACTCTGATGACTGCCACAGAGAAGCCTAGAATGCAATGAGAGAGTATCAGGGGACATACCCTAGTTTGGGGGTCAAGGAGGGCTTCCTTCCCTGAGAAAATGATGTTTAAAGAGAAAGCAGAAGGATGAGTACAAGTTGGCCGACTGAATGGAGGGGAATGATACTCCCAGCAAAGGAAATCAGAGCTTGCAAAGTCACGGGAGTAAGAGGGAGCATGCCTTATTTGAGGAATTGAAAGAAGACCAGGGTGGCCAAAGCATAGAGACCCAAATGGGAAGGAAAGGATATGAGACCTGGGCCAGTGAGAACACAGCACTGCTTCCAGAAGCACTAGCTGGTGGTGGCTTTAGTCACTGTGAAGCCCGTGTCCAGCCCAATGCATATGCCAATTGATGTATCTCCTATTTACAGAAGTGAGACCCAAACAAATGAAGAGATCAATGGACCATCTTTTCCTTCTCCTTCTCCTCTTTCACCTTCTTTTCCTTCTTGATCATCATCCTACTTTCTAAGTACCATAAAAGAAGTCAAGATAAGAATTTCCTATGAAATGCTAGGTGTTCAAAGGGTACAAACTTCCGGGTGTAAGATACATAAGATCTGGGGTCTAATGCACAGCATGGTGACTATAGTTAAGTATACTATTCTCTCACTGCATATTGCTCGGGTTGTAATTGTCAATTTATGACATGAAATGGTCAGTTTAGAGGTCTTTCTCTTCCACTAGATCAGGACCACCATGATCAACCTGAAGGCAGGTACCAGGTCCCCTTCAAGCCAGGATCCTCAGTGCCTGCAACGGCTCCCAGAACACAGGGAGCCCTCAGTAACTGGTGGTGGAAAGAATGGATGGATGAATGAATTATTCTGAGTTTCTAGGGATGACACTGAAACCCCACAGGGGAAACACAATGATGACTTAATCTTGGGCTGGGATGAGTCCTTTCATAGCAAAGCTTGTGTATGATGACCTTGGTCCTGGTTAGTACTTTCCAGCGAGGAGCCTTTCAACTCCTAGGGGTCCTATTTTCAATATTAAAAAAAAATTACTAAAGTCAGGCATTTATTCATTACAGAGTGCCCAGGTTTCAAAAACATCCAACTTCCCTGCATTTAGTGGGAATTTATAAACTTGGCATGGTCACTCTTTATCTCATACAGCAAACCATCATCTTGGAACTTTACACATACTACCTTATCTCATCTTTACATGAAGCATGCATGTGAGTCATATAGCCTCTAGCTCACAGACAAGAAGACTAGGGCTCAGAGATGTTTCATGACCTGCTCAAGGATGGAAGTTTATGGTGTTACAGGCAGAATTCCAGTCTAGTTCTGCCTGACCTGTTAGCACATTCTCTCCCCATGTAGCAGTGGGCTTCATTTCAGAGAAGGGCCCTCTGATGTGTGTTTCCATCACAGAGATGCTTGAGATGGGGGTCTGTCCTGGCCATCGGCCATTCCTTCCCTTTCTGGGCACAATGCACACAGGGTCATATGACCACTTAAACAACCCTGGATTTAATGAGAAGGCAGATACACTACCCACTAAAGTATACGTGACCTCATAGGCTTCCCAGCCTCAGAAAGCCCTCAGCCCCTCTTCCAGGAGAATCTCCCTCTTACTCTCAGATGAGATTACATAGAACATCGGGAAGTCTCCCAGACCCTCTATTTTCGACCTTATATTTTTCTTGTGTTGACAACTTAATACATGTTGTCCACACTTCCTTTTACGGGGAAAGATAAGACTCTGATGGTAATCAGAGCACCAGGATAGGAAATGCCACATTCCTCCATGTAAATATTTGACTAAACTTTCTCCAGGCCATGCATCATTGTGCTGAGCCCCCAGAAAAGCTTCAGGTTCACAGATCTGCAGGTGAGATACCTTGGCAATGAATTATGAGAAGGCGTGTTTAAAATCCAAGGCCAGAGCAGTGGATTCCAGGGGGACCTTGCTCTACATGACCAAAAGCTGTTCTGGGGAAGCCAGGAATAGAGCCTGGTCTCAATGGGGATGGAGTTCTCCCCTATGGTCAACTAATACCTGATAAAGCCACCTGTTTGGGTGGCTTTTAAAAAAAAGAAATGACTCCAACCATGTAGCTAACGTTCAGGTCTTTTTATAAACTGAAAAATCAGGAACATCTGAAGGTCAGTGAGGAATTACTTATTGATCCATCCATGCAGTGGGCAAATAATCATAAAAGTATTGGTGATGATAGCTAACATTGATCAACTGCTGACAGTGTGCCAATAACCACTCTAGGTTCTTTTAATGTAATCACCTCATTTAACCCTCACAACATTCTTGTAAGGCCTCTCAAGGTATGTTATCACCCCATTTTACAACTGCAGAAACTGAAGCAGGGAAAGATCAAGCAACGTGGCCAGGGTTGCACAGTAAGCAAGAGAGTGAAGGAGCAGAAAACTAGGCAGCCAGCGGAAGCTATTTTATCAATGGATACTTGATGGCTAAAAAACGTTTATGGCATTAAAGGGGAAAATGCAGGTTTCAAACTGGTGTGAATCCTTTCATTAGTATTATTAAAAGAAATGGAGGGAAAAAAAGACACGGAGAACGACCTCATACCCATTGTGAGTGGTTACTATTATGCACACACACATACACACACAAACTAAAACAGAGAAGATAAAGAGTGATGGTGAGGATAGAGAGAAATTGGAACTGTTGGTGAGAATGTAAAATAGTGCAGCTGCCATGGAAAGCAGGATAGGGGTTCCTCAAATATATAAAAATAGAATTACCATATGATCTAACAATTCCACTTCTGAGTATCTACCCAAAGGAACTGAAAGCCATTTATCAAAGAGATATTTGTAGACACCTATGTTTACAGCAGCATTATTCAGAATAGCTAAAAGGTAGAAGCAACCCGAGCATCCATCAATGGGTGAAAGTGTTGTATACACACAAAGGAATATTATTCAGCCTTAAAAATGAAGGGAATTTTGTTGCATGCTATAGCATGATTGAATCCAAGGATATTATGCTGAGGGAAATAAGCCAGTCACAGAGAGACAAATACTATATGATTCCACTTATATGAGATACTTAGAGTCATCCAATTCACAGAGATGGAAGTAGACAGGTGTTGCCAGGGGCTGAAGGAGGGGTAATAAGGAGTTATTGCTGAATGAGAACAGAATTTCCATTCTGCAAGATGAAGAGTTCTGGATAATAATTGCACAACAACGTGAATATACTTAACACTACTGAACTGCACAGTTAAAAATGGTTAAGATGGGGAAGGAGAAGACAAGAATGGAAAGAAAAGAAAAAAGAAAAGAAAAGGAGAAAGAAAAAAAAACATAGTTACAATATTCAAGGGAAAATTTCAAAAGGATATATATCCAGTGAGTTGATAGTGATTTGCATTAGGTCATAGTTTTATACGTAAATGTATCTACTTTGTGCTTACTTAAACTTTCTGATCTTTCCATAAGGACTGTGTATTGTACTTGTAATAAGATCTTTAAAAATTATCTTCAAAACAAGAGAAAAGCAGCAAGGAAGAGTAAAATCCAGAATGCGGGGAAAGCAGTCAGTCCTGTGCACAGAGGAATAGCATGGCCGTGGCTTCTGCAGGGGAGAAGGTGCCAACAAAGAGGCTCCGCACACCACTCCAATTAGGTCCTTATGCTCAGACACTCAGCCTTTGTGAGCAAGGGGCTTAACAAGGAGCCTGAATGACCAGAAGCAGGGGATCCTCCTCCATTAAAGGACATGGATGGCAGGGGTAGAGAGTGAGAATTGTGATTCTCAGTGGAAGTATGCATTGCCTGCATGAACATCTGCATGGAGGATCTTGTATTGCACCTGTCTGAGCTCTAATTCTGGAAGTGGGATAAACAGGGGGAAGGAGATTTGTGGGTAGGAGCAAGTCTCATCTCTCGCTCACTATCAATTCAGATACAGAATTTGAACCTCTGAGCTTAAAAGAACCTTAAAAACTATTTAGCCCAAATGTCTCATTCTACAGAATAATTAAGGCCCATGCAGGTAATGGGACTTGGTTAGCATGCAGCTAGGTTTGTGGCAGACACTGGATTACCATCAGTTCCCTGAACATGCCTGCTTTGTCAGTCCTTCCGTCTCCCTATGCCTGTATGCACTGTTCATTCTTCTGTTCTTCAGTCACATTTGTTCAACTTTGAGGCTATACCAGGCTTGGAGGGAGGCACTTTTTTTTCCATCTTTTTGTCCCCTGCATTGCTTCATGCAGAGGATATTTGCAGGGATTGGGCAATATAATAGAATGATCAGATGCAAGTTTATGCTTTGCCACACTGTCACTTCTCTTCCCCATCACTGTGTTTGCATTATTGCTCATCCTTTACCCCACTCTGCAACAGTCACCCCATAAATAACCCAACCACCTCCCTGAGGAAAATTTCAGAGATGACAGCTATGTCACAATCTTCCATGTGAGTCCTGTCTCTTAATTAGGTTTTTATAGTCAAGGATTTGTTGTGTTTATGTGAGCTATTGTGCAGGGGGCATAGAGACAGTCTGGCTGCCTTAAGGTAGCCATTGTAAGATTTGTTAGAAGTACAGCTCAAAGCCAGACAGAGCTGTGTACAAATCCTGTGTCCACCACTTTCAGCCATGAGAGTTTAGGCAATTATTTAACCTCTCTATACCTGAGTTTCCTCTTCTATGAGGGCCATAATATTTACCATGGACAGCTCTTAGTAATAGGGGTTGAATAAATGTTAACTTTCTCCTTTAACTGTATACGATTCTTAAACTTTCATACCAGCTTTGCTTTTTCTCAAGGCCAACTCCTAAGGTCAAAGAACAAAGATAAATGAGAGGCAGAGTAATTCTTAGGCAAAAAGAAGGAAGTAGTTTAGCTCGTGTTGAGCTGGTTTAGAGCAGAGGTTGGTAAACTGCAGCCCCTGGGCCAACTCTGTCTAGTCCTCTGATTTTGTAAATAAAGTCTTATTGGAATACAACCATGTTCATTTATTTACAGATTGTCTATGGCTGCTTTCTGTACAATGGCAAAGTGGAGGAGTTAGGACAGAGATTTTGTATGCCCCACAAAGCCAAAAATACTTATGATCTATGTTTTTACAGAAAAACTTTAGGTATATGTGATATTTTATCAGGAGGTGATTGACACATGTAATTTTCCTCTCCGGATCGTCAAGATGAAGCAGTAAACATTGGCAAGGATGCTGAAAGAAGGAGGACCTTATGTTTTAAAGCAATCTGAGGATTACCTTTTACCAAATTCCTTCCACCCTTCTTTAGACTAGATGCTGTTGTTGAGTTCTTACAAAACCAGAATGTGGTTGTCAAGTGGCAGGCGGTGGGGAGACTTAATTGGTTTTCCACTGGTAGATAATTTGTTAGATCCTAAACAAAGAAGAAAGACCAATGACTCTAAGAGACCAATAACTAAAAGTCACAGGATATCTGCGCGGTTAACCCTGTGATACCAAAATGACTCATCAGAGTCTATGGCTTTCCTACTATTGATTTCATGGTTTCAATCCCCTTTGGTTCAATGTGTTCATCCTACAAGTGCTGCTAAGAATCTCCTAATGCATGTCAGAGTTAGCTGCAGAGGCTCTTGATTTGCTCTCAGTTGTGAGTGTGTTTTTTAGAGCTTTTGGCTTCTCTTGGCAGTTGAAGAAACTGTGAAAGTTTCTGCTTTACTCCACAGTCTCTGGGCTCAACCTCTGAGCTAACAACAACTCCAGGACAGAGTGTTTTACTCAGCCTCGATGTTTCAAGTTTGGAAAGGAAGACAAGCGTTCTGGGTATTTCAAGCAGAAAGGGACTCCATACAAGGAATTAAAGGTTTAAACAATTATGGGATGGGTTATAGACATATAAGTAGGGAAATCTGCAAGGGCTGGAATCCAGGGAGCTGCCACCCCTACAATCTAGGAAGTAGTGCTGAAGTGGATGGTTCTGAAGAATGTGGGTGAAAGGAAGCCACTGGCAACATGCCACATCTACTGACACCTACTCCCTCACACCTGCAGCTGAGAATAAGGACCTCTCCTTCTCCTTGGCCTTCAAAACACCATACCAGCACCTCTTCTTGGAAGGATCCAACCCCGAACCCTGCTGGCAAAAGTCTAGGGAGTGTGGTCCTAGGCTGGCTTCACCCATGCAGGGAGAATGTAGAAGGAAGGAAGAGATAGTGACTAGTTGATATGAAATGATTTAGCTTTGAGGAAACTTCAGGAAGACTTCCTAGAGAATGTGATGCCAAAGACTGGGTTTTGAAAGATCAAAGTTGGCCAAGCCCTGCCTTGGTCACTGATTCATCAAAGGAGTTTCCCTTTCTAGATTGCAAGAGCTAAAGTTAGGGAAGTACCACCTTCCCAAGAAGTGCTCATCTTATGCAACCAAATGAAGAGGTAGCTATAAATAGCCTGCTTTCTCATTATTTTGTGTTCAAATGGATAACTGCAAGAAACGTTTCCTTCCTGAAGAAACAGAGTTATAGTCACCAAATCAAACAGCAATACCTCTCCTCATTGGAAATACAAGTGGGGAAAGTTTTCTCTCTGAACATACTTCATAGGCAGTTTGGAATTGTTGTGCCAAGGGAAGAAAGATCTGCCAACTACAGTGGTTGTTAGGGCAATGTACAGAGTGAAACCCTAGCATCTCCACCTTGATTTGATCCTCCCGGTCCTTTGTAGCTCCTCCTCTCCTTTTCAGAGATACATCTGGAACTCTCCAGATAACCAGCCCACTGACAGCTCATATTTTTTTCTTTTCCTCAAAGTTTAGATTGATAGAAATCTTCCAGTGCTGGGAAGGTAAAGGTGCAGCATCGATTAAGCACCTGCTGTTTCTTTTAATATATTAGATGCTTTGTGCACCTATTGAATCTTGTAAGGGACCTTTTAGATAAGTCTATTACCTTCATTTTCCAGGTGAGGAAGCAAAGGTCAAGAAAGGTAAAGTAATATTTCCAAGGTCACATACCCACTGCTGTTCTCCAGAGGATAAGGCCAGACCCCCAATGCCCAACTATAAGTGAATCCTGAATTCAATGATGTTCTTGGGTCACACATAGGTTCATAACATCCTCATGTCTCTACAAAACCATGCAGAAGCTTGAGCCCATCCTTGGTGACTTCCCTTACTTCCCCCTTTTTTCCAGGAAATAAGGGACAGCCAGAGCTCACAACTGCCAGTGGCAATAGCCAGTGGGGTTCCACTCCCACTCTAGCCTTCCTCTGTGTCATTTTCCCAAAGACATGAAAAAAAAAAAAAGATAACTCCTTAGAACCTAGAACCCATGTAGATTTTCCAAAATTTCAGGTCAAATTCATCTTAGGGATTTTTATTTTCTATTATCTTCTCTCCCTTTTACCATTTCTTTAGCAATCAAATAAAAAGAAAATCTGTAAACACATTACAAAAATAAAATGTATAGGTCCTTTGTAAGGCAAGGTGTTCAACACTCTATTTTTCTTCTCCATACTTCATCTCATGGATGTCCCTGTCTTTGTTAATAATTCTTTGACGTTTTGGGATCCAGATTATTTTTATGACACTATTATTTTAGAGAGTATAAAAACTGTTTCCTTAATGAACTTCAGGCTTTCATTCAGTTTTAAATCCATAGTGGTGATATTTGCTTACATCTTTAATTGCTATCACCGCTCACTGCTTGTTCTTCTAAATGGTGACCATCTAGTTCTGAGCTCTTAATTGCTTTATGACTCAGTTTGCATACATGTCTTAAAGAAGCTTTTCAAGGAAGGTTTGAAGATAATACATTTTTTTAATCTCCTTTGCGTATGCACTGATACGGTTCTATTCCCTGCATATGTGAGTACTAACCAGAATTCAGAGGTAACACTGCTGGGTCAGATCCTTTTCTTCTCCAAACCGTATAGATGCTACTAAATTATCTTCTGGTTTTTAATGTGCTGGGAAGAAGACAATGAAGTGTAGGTTAATTCTCATCTTCAGATACAACCCATTGTTTTGTGTCTGGATATGGTACTTGTGGAATTTGTGGATTAAATACAAATACCTATTTGTATTTTTCTTAGTAGGCTGATACTTTCAGGCTGGTACTTTCACCAGGCTACATAGATGTGAGGCTCTGATCCCTGAGTTTTCCTAAACTGGGGTCAGTTCTTTCTGTCTCCCATGAGCTTCCTTTCCCTTTAGCTAGGAACGCTCACCAGTGTCACATAGCTCCATATTTTCTGCCCAATGTTTCAGAAACCTCCTTTATTGTCACTATCCTCCTTTTACCTCCCGGTCTCCTTTCTCTAATTTGGGAAGGGTCTCTCAAATCCGTCCTCCACACCAGTGACAGAGCTTCACGCAGCACTAACACTGCTCTTCCTATCTCTAACGGGGATTGAATTCCAGCCACTGAGCACATCTTCTCCTTGCTTCATCGCATCACTGTTCCCCACCCAATTCTTCTGCCTTTTCTCCCTCTGGATCCTGCCTTCAGATGTTCTGCTTCTATTTCAGAGAGACCTTCACTGAAATTTGTGGGAGTGCCATATAGTTATCTGAGATGATCATCTAGATTCTGAGGTAAATTTTTCTGAGTTTCTCTGCCTTGCTGATGTTATTTTTTTTTCCTTTTCTTTGCAACATTTTTTATGGGCCCTTTGTTGTGGATGATGATGATATTGTTCATTTTACTCATTCTTAGACAGGACAAGTTCAGTTTGTTGTAATTTTTAGAGTGGGAGAGAGAGATTTGCTCTGTGCACTGCCCTGGTGGTCAAATTCCCTTCTCCAATCCAAAATTTATATTCACAGATCCCAGTCTGCTCTCACTTAAATAGCCAGCCGTCACCTGGGACACCATGCAGTGAATATGGTTCCCCTACTCCAGCACTCAGCCCAGCTTCTTGTTCTTAGAAACAACGCATGATGGGAATAGCCCAGTCCCTGACAGGCAGAGCTAGCTCCGATCTTCATGCCTCAGCAGCCTTCTTCAGAGCTTTGTCACCGTTGCTTGCCTCCCTGAGGTCACTTCAGTTCAGCAATTTGCTGTGATTCCCAAAATCTGCCTGGATTGGGGGAAGTGGGACAAGTGGGAGAAGAGGAAGCCTGAGAAAAGAGAAATAATGCTATTCAAGGGAATAACTCCCGAGGAGGGGAAGGAAGTGACAGTACCATTTCCAGTTGACACCAGGCTTGGGACTGAGTTTGAGTTTAGAGGTTGGGTGGGAGTAAGGAAACCTCCTACCCATTTAAGGGAATTTCTTCATGAATGAGAGCAAGAGTATGTCACATGCTAGACCCAAGGTAGGCGATCCTCAATCCAGATCCATCCACCCCATAATCACTGTGAATTGTTGCAGATTCTGTCACTAGGTTGTATTTCCAGTCTAAGCACTCTGTCTCACCTATAGTTTCAATGAGAAGAGCTGAATGGCTCAGCTTTGGGAACCACCAGCCAGCTGCCATTTTGAACCAGAAGTCGGTGGGCAGCTTACTTTGACCTCTTCCAATTTCCAAGCAGCTGTTACTGCAAAAGGCCAAAAAGAAAATATTCAATAACTAAAGCTCATGGTGCCCTGTTTCTGTCCTCTATACAGTCTGGTTTAAAATTTGCTACAGAACAAAAGAAAAAAAAGTAAGAAAATATTATCTTATTTATTTTTACTCTTTAAGATTATTTTAGTAAATCCTTTTCATGGAATCTTTCAAAGTTCAAGTTTAGTTTTCACTCAACACCTCAGCTTCCGTAGGTTGTCCCAGCAGCGGGCTCTCGATTACTCTGCTGAGCACCCCAGGCTGGTCTGTGAGGCCCCATTTCTAACAGCCTGTCGTAGAATCCACAGACAGTAGGCTCTGTCTTTCTCATTTGGAGGCCCAGGCAGTTTGTTCTGGGCAGTCAGGGCCTGGGGAGGAAGATGACCTCACCCACCCTCTCACTTTCAACTGTAAACTTTAGACACCTCATGACTTTCCATCCCTTCCATCCTTCACCCCTTTCTCAACTGTGAAACCTCCTTACACTGGAGGGGCTGAATCTTATGCTCAAGAAAATGTAAAATGCATCCCAAAAGAAAAACAAATTTAAAAAGAAACTAACCAGTTTAGGGTATATTCATATGAAGAATAGCATGATGCTTATGTTTGAAGGCTCTGGACTGTGAAGGTTTAAATCCCAGCTCTGCTGCCTGGATCTGTACAAACTTGGGCAAGATATCTAACCTCTTTGTGTTTTATTTCTTCATCTATAAAATGAGATAATAAAAGTACCTATCTGATTGAGTTTTTGTGAAGATTAAATGAGTTAATGTATTCAAAGTGTTTTAAGAGGTAAATGCTTCGTGCCTGTTAGCTATTATTATTGCCTATTACACACCAAGTGCTTTGGGGCATGTTATTGCTAGTCTCTC